TAAATAAAAAATTAATTATTTATATAATATATAAAATTATATAAAAAAATAATACAAAAAATTTGTCCTAAATATTTTTCTTAATATTATTAAATAGAGATGAAAGTTTTATAACCGAGAGTTGTTATTCATCTAATTCTTGTTGTTTTATATAACAAAATAACAAAAACAGGAATGTTAAAAAAAAAAAAATAACAAAAACAGAAAAATAAAAATCCATTTATCTATATAAAAGCCAAAAAAAGAAAAAATCTAGGAAAATTTTCGCGGGAAGAACCTTGCTGTTTGCCGACCTCGGCACAGACGATACCGTAAACTTCAAAAAATCAGAGGGCGACGCTCGGATGCTCGCTAGAATGGAAGCATAGAGTCGAAGTAACCTCTCGCCATGGCTGCTGTGCATTCTTTCTTAACCCCTTCCATTTCCACCCCAAAACCCCTTCCTCAACGAAACGTGGTCCTTTACGCCAAACCCACCTCCTCTCTCCCCTTCTCCACACCCTTTCCTTCTCTTTCTAACCTTCGGAGATATCGTTTTAATCAACGTACACGGATATCTGCGTCTCTTACGGTCTCAATTCGCTACCTTTTCCCACCATCTGCTTTTGCACACCAAGTGTTTGATGGGTTGCTTATATGTTTACTTCTTGTGCTGTTTGTTCTCTTTCCAGGATAATTTGGTTCGTTTTAGGAAGAGTTTGAGTGATTTTACAAGCTTGAACTACTGGGTCGTTAGGGACTATTATCGTTTGGTGGATTCTGTCAATGCTCTTGAGCCGCAGATTCAGAGGCTATCCGACGAACAGGTTTGCAGACTAGGTTTTATTGCTTTTCTACCTGGGCAATTTGGATAATTCATTCCTTTTTCTTGTAGCTGGCAGCTAAAACTGCCGAGTTCAAACAAAGATTGAGCCTAGGAGAGACACTTTCGGATATTCAAGCTGGTTAGTTGCTAATGATTCTTCTGTTTGAATTGCAGTTTGATGAGCTATGAAGATTCTAAGTAGTTTGATGCAATTTGTTATTATTATTATTGTTTTACAGAGGCATTTGCTGTTGTTCGTGAGGCAGCAAAAAGGAAGCTTGGGATGCGCCATTTTGATGTTCAGGTCTCTTTCTACACACAGCACACTTGTACACCAACAGCTAAAATAGTAAAATACAGGGTTTTTTTTTTTTTTTTTTTCACGTGCCAAAACTAACACCGATGAACATGCATGGACACAGCAAATACTCACGTTACATGTAAACATGCCAATGCATTTACAGTTATATGAATGAAAATTGTTATTCATTTAAAGTTAAGTTTTTATGTTTATTTATATTGTTAATGCTTGATTCTAGATTATTGGTGGAGCAGTACTTCATGATGGTTCTATTGCTGAGATGAAAACAGGGGAGGGGAAAACATTGGTTTCAACATTACCCGGATATCTTAATGCACTTACTGGTGAGGGTGTCCATGGTATGTCTTGTATCATCAGTCTTATAGTCCTGCTTGCAATTGTTGAATGGATTTTAGAAGATAATCTGGAGTTACCAAGGCTGGATAAAATGTTTGGAGTGTCTTCACTGAAGCACAAGGGATGGAAGTTTTAGTGAAGGATTGTCTTTTCTATTCCCTAAACAATCGTTTTCAGAGCATTTTTCCTTTTTTAAGCTTGTTAGTCTCCATTTGTTGGTGAGAGACCAATTTTATGTCAATTTGCTAAGTTTGTCTTGTGAGAAACACAATTTCTTACATTTTGATTGTGGAAGGGAAAAAAAATCTTTTACTTAACAGATTAAGCATAATATCACTTTTGAATTAAGAACAAGGAGGACTGTGATGCTTGTACCCTTCTTAATGTTGAGACTTATGGTTAAACATCATCATCTGAACTAGCTGGAGAAAGATGTGTGTGTATGAGATGCTTACAGACATTTGCTGTAGATTTTAGCAATCAATGCCTCTTCCTCTGTCTACAGTGGTAAATGGGGCTCTCAATCATCCTTATAACATTATTTGACAACCTCTCTGCCTCTGTCTCCAGTGGTAACTGTGAATGATTACCTTGCACAACGTGATGCTGAGTGGATGGGTCGCATTCATCGCTTTTTAGGTCTTTCAGTGGGTCTTATTAAGGTACTTGAAATGGTTTAGAAATGTTGTTATAGCATATTCTTACAGACACTAGAGCTAATGTCAAATAGTCATATCCAAATATAATCTAATCTAAGCAAGAGAAAAAAATTTTGACCATCCTTTAAACGCACTTGCAAACTCCAAAGTATGATAGGATAATGGGCTTTAATTATGTTGTTGCTGTTGTTTTTTAGAAGGGGATGTCTTCTGAAGAGAGGAGATTGAACTACCAGTGTGACATAACATACACCAATAACTCAGTAAGTCATTCCTGCTTTATGTTGGTGCAATGAATATTGACTAGTGAATTCTCTAATCTTCTCCCTGCTCTTCCCTCTGTCAAAATGTTGTTATTCCCTTACTGTTGTTTTTCTGGTTGCCCTAGGAACTTGGTTTCGATTACCTACGAGATAATCTTGCTGGAAACAGTGATCAACTTGTCATGAGATGGTATATTTCAAAAAACACTGTTTATAATTTATACTTTATTCATGTTATTGGATTAATAGCAATGCACTTTGCAAAGACAGGCCGAAGCCATTCAATTTTGCAATTGTTGATGAAGTTGATTCTGTCCTCATTGATGAAGGAAGAAATCCTTTGTTAATAAGTGGTGAGGTAATTCAGGGCTTTCTTTTTGAGTTTGTCAATTTTTTGTATGCCCACTTGCATAGGTATGTAAATTTTAGGATTTGAGAATTTCAGAATTAAATGGGAGCAATTGGATGACATCTAACAAAATTAAAACTGTGGAATAGCTTACTCTTTTTGCCATTTTGTGACAAACTCAAAGTTGTAGAAATGGCTTGTTAATATATGCCTCTTCACTGTTGTATGATAGGCTAACAAAGATGCTGCAAGGTATCCAGTTGCTGCTAAAGTTGCTGAGCTGCTGATACGGGGTCTTGTAAGTCCAGTCTCTTGGATTCATTTTCAGTTTAACCATCGTATGTTACTGCTTCATAGTTGAAACATTATGTCATTATTTCACATTGTTCTTTTATAGAAGAACATTTAGTATAATGAAGCAGTTTCTCTAGAAATTAACTTTGGCTACAGCATTACAATGTGGAGCTTAAAGACAATTCAGTTGAGTTGACTGAAGAAGGAATAGCACTTGCAGAGATGGCTCTTGAAACAAACGATCTGTGGGATGAAAATGATCCCTGGGCAAGGTGAAGAATTGTACCCTTTCTTTCTTTTTACCACTTTGTAATTTTCTTATCATAGTTGGTAGGCATTGGGAAGAGAATAAGTCAAATCTCCTGCGTTTCTTTGATTCAAATATTTGTTTATGTCTTGGAGTTCTTTTCTTTCAATAAGTTACAGCTCACAGAGCTGTGGAAAGATGCACTGACCAACTGGGCCAAGAGTTGTGGTGCCTGGTTTGCTATTTTGAAATGTTATTTCCTTCTGAACATGGGGCATTTGAAGGACTTAAACAGAAAAAACAGTGTGGTTAACTCTGATCTAATTTTCTTTGTTTTGGATCCATATTCGTAGAAATTCTAGTGTACTGAATTTGTATGCCTACTATCAGTTGTAGGAACCACTTGTGAATTGTTGCTTACAAACTATACCGATCGCATCATGTATATTTTTCAGATTTCAATAAACTCAGTTAAGTCTTTGTTCTAATCAAGTTGTAGTCTGTTACCTATTCTATCTTCTCCAGTCCATCTAATTAATAACCATCTTTCTTTACATGCTGTCTTTTTTGGCCTGCCTTACCTCTATCCTCTTCATTCTTTCTACATAAATCAAATCACTCTTATACATCATAGAATCCCTACTCTATATTGCACATGGCCAAACCATCTAAGCTGTCCTGCTCTTATCTTGTTCTTTGGATTTTATGTTACGTAAACCTTCTCATGAATAACTTCATTTCATATCCTATCTTTTCTTATGATAATGTATCTACCTTATTCCCCCATAAATTTTCAGCATAGTGGTTAAGAGTTATATCATGCAGATTTGTGATGAATGCCCTGAAAGCTAAAGAATTTTATCGCCGGAATGTTCAGTATATTGTAAGAAATGGGGAAGCTCTCATAATCAATGAGGTATGATGATATGTTAGCCTTTGTTTTGTTTATGTATCTCATGTCAAATTATCAATTCCTACTTTCTTTAAAATGTGATAAACTTCGATATTTACTTAGTGTATAATATATGATTATTGTTAATATTTTAGAAGAAAGGATCATAATTGTTTAGCTGAGAGACTATGCCATTTCTTTAGTCTATGCTTATATTTGTCCCTATTAACTAAAACTTTCACAACTGGATGGCCTATCATAGATGACTACGGGGTTCCTTTTTATGGGTAAAATGATAGTTGTAGCTTCTCACAACTTACCAGGTGCAAAGTTGACAAGTTCTTACTGCAGTGAAGATATCAAAGTTAATTTTGTTATATTGTTTCCTGTGGCTGCATCTTGTTAAAAAAATATATATATATATATATTATTATAGGTCAAGGGTTCATTTAATATGGAAGTAAAAAGGTTTAGAAATTTGAGTTTGTAAAGAGATAAAACATATTTAAACTTTTGCAGCTAACTGGCAGAGTTGAAGAGAAAAAGAGATGGTCTGATGGGATTCACCAGGCTGTAGAGGCTAAAGAAGGTTTGAAGATAAAGGTATATCTAGATGTCTAAAAGTTGACATCTGAACTTTGTTCCTTCCCACTACATCCAGTGTAATTCAGGTTTTCCTGATTACTAGTTGTAACCTTTGTTTGAATTGTTAGGCTGATTCAGTTGTTGTGGCTCAAATCACATACCAATCACTGTTTAAGCTCTATCCAAAACTCTCAGGGATGACTGGAACAGCAAAAACTGAAGTATGGATTATCTTATAGAATTGGATACTGATTTAATCATTTCTAATTATAAATTATTAATCTTATGCTAATTTTATTGACTGAATTCAGAATTTTAATCTAATTTTTTTGCAGGAGAAAGAGTTCTTAAAAATGTTCCAGATGCCTGTCATTGAAGTTCCCACAAATCTTCCAAACATTCGGAAAGATTTATCCATACAAGCTTTTGCTGTAAGGGTTTTAGCAATTTCTTCTCAACAATACTCATATTTCTGATGAGAAATGATTTTCTTCCAACTCTTTGCTGACTCACTTCTTCTTTCTACTATCTTAGACTGCCCGGGGGAAATGGGAATATGTTAGCCAAGAAGTTGAACACATGTTTAGACAGGGTCGTCCTGTTTTAGTTGGGACTACTAGGTAAATCTTCTGAAAGTTCCCTTTGTGATTGAATCCTTTTTCTCTTCTTTCATTAGGCTTGCAGCTGATGTGGTGTAGTATAGGATCAAGTTGGTGCTCCATAATATTACATTCAAACATCTGAAAGTTATCAAACATTTTGTACTTATAATTTTTAAGCTATGATCTCTTGTCTTATTGATTTGATGCAGTGTTGAGAATTCTGAATATCTGTCTGATTTGCTGAAGGAGAGGAATATCCCCCACAATGTTTTAAATGCACGACCCAAGGTTTGTTAGTTTAACTCACTGCTAACTTGCAATTAGATCTATGGTCTGCCACATATGCCACATCCTCATTTGACATCAATATTTTGTCTCAGTTGTCTTTATGCCAGTCCTCTTTACCAGTCTGTTTTTTATTGTCTTTCCTTTAGTATGCAGCAAGAGAAGCCCAAATTATTGCCCAGGCAGGGCGAAAGTATGCTATCACCATTTCTACAAATATGGCTGGTAGAGGCACGGACATAATTCTTGGAGGAAATCCAAAAGTATTTATACTTGTTGAATTATCTATTTACTCTCAAATCTCAATATTCCCAATTCTTAGTGGAAGAAGTACTCTAGCAAACTATCCACTCTAATTTATGATCTTGCTTGATGACATAAATTCACACACTATTAAGATTTGATTTAATATTTCCTTTATTGGAGATTTTTTCATTTTTCCCCCAAAATATACAATGAGAAGGAACTGATTTTACAACTTCATGGCTAACATACAAAGATGCTTGCCAAAGAAATCATGGAGGACAGCTTGCTTTCATTTTTGACAAGAGAAGATCCTAATACTGAAATTGATGACAAGGCAATTTCCCAAAAGGTGATCACTTACTGTTGTTGTAAGCCTGTCAGGAAATAAATATATGTTATAATCAACATTCCCATACAGGTCTTGTCAAAGATAAAGGTTGGGCCATCATCATTGGCTTTGCTAGCTAAGACTGCTCTGATGGGTTTGTAACATACTTTAAGAACTTCTATTTGAATACCAAGTTCATTTTACTGATAAATGTGTATATATTTAATTATCTGATGGCACACTTCTTTTCAATGAAAATCATATAGCAAAATATGTTGGTAAAAGTGAGGGAAAGAGCTGGACATATCAGAAGGCCAAATCTATGATCTCAGACTCTGTGGAAATGAGTCAGTCAACTCCATTAAAAGAGTTGCAGAAGCTTGTTGATGAACAATCTGAGATGTACCCTCTTGGACCTACCATAGCTATAGCTTATCTGTCAGTTCTGAAGGATTGTGAAGCACACTGTGCCAATGAAGGGACTGAAGTGAAAAGGCTTGGGGGGCTTCATGTGATTGGAACATCCTTGCATGAATCTCGAAGAATAGATAACCAGGTGTGTAATTTTCTGCACAAATAACAAGAGCAATTATTCCAATTCTAACTATCATTTAGTTGGCATTTATGAGGCACTTTCCTGTATTATTAAAAAAAAAAAAGCAATAATCATGGCAACTGGAAGCTAGAAAAGACTTTCAAAACTCTCAAAATTGACTTAATAAGAAATTGTCACTGCTCACATGCCCAGGGATATTTATAAATGTAAAGAAATGTAAATGCACGGTAGTCTATGTCTTTCCTTTTTAGTGTTAGAAGTTACATAAAAAGGGTTAATTGGAAAGCAGGCTAGGTCATAAACTTACAACCTTTGAAAACAAACACAATTTATTAAAATGTCTGAACTTATGTATAGATCAGGAAATAAAATTTAACCTTTTTACATTGAGCTATTAATTGTGCCTTTTTCCCATATATGTTGCACTTGAATCTGAACATAAGAGGGGGGGGGGGGAAAGAAGGTAAATCACGTAACTTTTGTGATTTAAATCTCAACTTTTGTTAATCCATGATGTATTTTTATTTATTTTGTGCATAAATGTGGTTATATACCTAAAATAATAGCAATCTTCTACAGCTCCGCGGTAGAGCAGGAAGGCAAGGAGATCCAGGATCGACAAGATTTATGGTGAGGTAATATGCCATTTTTTAATTTTCCTTTATTTATTTTTCTAACCTGGTCTTTATTTTAGAAATTATATACTTAGCTAGATGAGTGTTAATGGCTTTTATACAACAGTCAGTTTTCAAAAACAGTTTTTCATTGACCTTGCCAGACTATTCTGAAAAAGGTTACTTCGAAAGAAACCATCTTTTTACCTAATCATGTGGATTTATGTTCATGCACTATGTATTTATGGAACAGCTTGCAAGATGAGATGTTTCAAAAGTTTAATTTTGATACCGAGTGGGCTGTGAAGCTTATTTCAAGAATTACAAATGATGAAGATATACCAATTGAAGGTGATGCAATTGTAAAGCAGGTGATAATTTATTTGATGAACTTTTTTACCCTTATCTTTATGGTATTTTTAGAGTTTATGCTTGTAACACTATCTCCTTACAATCTTGAGCCATCATAAATTTGTAGCTTTTAGGCCTGCAAATCAATGCAGAGAAGTATTTCTTTAATGTGAGAAAGGGCCTTGTGGAATTTGATGAAGTTTTAGAGGTAACAGTCATGCAAATTAAACCAAGTTTTAGCCACCAATTGTGATGTCATCTTGTTAACGTTTTTAATTTTCTTTTCTTTTCTTTTCTTTTTTATCAGGTTCAAAGAAAGCATGTCTATGATTTGAGACAGTTGATTCTAACAGGTGATGATGAGAGCTGTTCTCAACATATATTCCAGTGAGTTCCTCTCATATTCAGTAAATCTAATCATGCTACCTGTCGTAGTAGATTCATGAGTTTAATAGCTGTCAGTCAAAGTACAACTAATCAATGCGTGTTGCTTGTTTGCTTTTCATGCATAGAGTCTTTCATTCTGGAATGAACAGTAGCAGATAGCAACTCAATCCCGCCACCACTATTCTTGGAGTGTGCACTAAGGCATATTCCAATTTTTGGGAATTAAGTTTTTGCTGAAGGAAGGACATGAAATTAATGAAACTTGGTTCCCTTCTGATTATTATTGTTCCTGTGTATTTATGTTCTTAATCACATCTAAGTGGTAGAAGGGAACCTGGCAAGTATGTTAAATTAAAATGCAGGTTTAAATTGTTAAATGCAGACATAATATACATTAGAAATGCAAGGAAATGAAAGTAAGAATAATAGAGCAGTATCTTTTGTCTAATTGCACTGCTAGCAAACCTCGTCACCCTTTGTAATGCAAATTTCTTGGGTAACATATGGCAATAACTGTAAGACCGATTCTTTTGCTATCAATAAATTGCCATAAATTGTCAGACTGATTCTTCTCTCTTTATTTATTTATTTATTTTTTAATTTTTTTGGCCAGACATTTATTGAGTGCTTGATCATGAAGTGTGTGTGTTTAATACCATTGTTTTCGGCAAAATATTAGCCCTGTAGATTCATAGAGGTTAGTTTTGAACTTTACATTTCTCTTTTTTCATTGTTACTTTTTGTTGCTTGCTAGATACATGCAAGCAGTGGTAGATGAGATTGTCTTTGGAAATGCTGATCCATTGAAGGTACTGAACGTCTTTCTCAGTTCAATACATCTCTTTCTGTGGTCTTACAAATTACTTTAATCCATTCTGTAGCATCCAAGATACTGGAGTCTGGCTAAGCTCTTGAAAGAGTTCATTGCAATTTCGGGGAAGCTATTTGATGGTGAGCTCATCACATAAGTCCCTTGGTTTTATGATTTGTTGTGGGATATTTCATTAGTTAGTCAGTTTGAATGAATGATAGCCTGCCATGTCAAACATGATCTCTTAAAGCTTGGAATTTCTCCAGACTCATTTATGGGGATTACTGAGGAAGATTTACAGAAATCTCTTGAACAACTACATCAATCAAGTTCAGTAGACGTTGATAACTTTTACCTTCCTAAGTTGCCAAAACCTCCAGATTGCTTCAGAGGAATCCGCAGGAAAAATTCATCATTAAAACGGTGGCTTGCTATTTGCTCTGATGATTCAGCAAAGTGAGTACTATCTCGATGCTTGTATAACTGGGCATTAGAGTTGAATAGACTCTCTTCTCTCTGTTTATTTATTTTTTATGGTATTCTGGAATTTAGTGTACCCACTGATATTTCTACTACAGGAGTGGAAGATACCGACCTACCACTAATCTTCTACGCAAATACCTTGGGGATTTTTTAATTGCTTCATATTTGCATGTTGTGCAAGAATCTGGTTATGATGATGCATATGTAAAAGAAATTGAGGTGAGAGCTTGTGTTGTCTACTTCTTATCATGGAGGGTAATATCATTGACAGGTTAAAACTATATGGATGGAAGTTACCATTATATATTTATATACTGTCCATTCCATAACATTACCTTTTTGGTTTGCTTGTCTAGAAACAATTTATCTCACAAAAGTTGCATTAGCTTCTTTGCTTTTGCATTTCTGTTTGTCTTAAATTAATTTTTATATTGCTGGAGCACAGAGAGCAGTTCTTCTCAAGACACTGGATTGTTTCTGGAGGGATCATCTTGTAAATATGAACAGGCTGAGTTCAGCGGTAATATATATGATTTGCTAAATTGGTTATTCATCCTCTTTAGCTTTTTGGTAAGGACATGCTCATTTATCATGCTTGACAGGTGAACGTTAGAAGTTTTGGACACAGAAATCCTCTTGAAGAATATAAAATTGATGGGTGCCGATTTTTCATCTCAATGCTCAGTGCAACAAGAAGGTTAACTGTAGAATCACTCTTGCAATACTGGTCATCCCCTGTGGAGTCTGAAGAACTGTTTGCATCATAAAATTAACCAAAGGTTTGCATCAATTCTGTCTCCTTGGAATCTAATTTCTATACTACACAGTATTGGGTTTTCTATGAATCTCATCCAAGAGAAGTCAAAGGAGAAATGGTTATGATGTACCTCTCTATTTCGATTTTAAGTTTACCTGGAGCATCCTGCCATTGCTCTGCTATGAATCTCTTTTGTGCTGGCAGGTGACTAAAGAAGTCAGGATATCTCTAGCAACAACCAATAAGGTTTTGTTGATGACATGGGTTGGAAAAGCTTATTGGTCCAAAGGTTACATTTCTTCAGCTTCTGATAACTTAATATCTCAGGCTTACTGACTTTGCTACAGCCAACATGTCTCTTGCTGCATCTATTTTTTATTCTTGACGTTTGCAGTATGACCAGGAAATTTTGTTGGAAATTTTTGATTTCTTTATGTCGTTATCTTGTGAAAAGGAACGTAGGTGTTGAAATAATTCATATATGCTAATAAGTGAAAGCTTCAACAATAATATTATGAAAAATATTGCCACAAACATCCTACGTCCATAAATGTGCAATGACACTTTGGAGAGATTTGAATTACATGAAGGAACTCTTCATCGTCAGGGATATTTGTTATGAATATTTGTTTTATATATTGTATGTGATGATGACAAACCAGTATAAAGGTTTTTCTTTCTTTCAAAAAATGAAAAATCAAGTCAGTATAAATTAAGAACTCCAATTTTCATATTAAAAAGATTTTTTTTTTTTTGACTTTCAAATACCCTTTATTGTAGGAAATAATTATATTATTTGATATATAATTATATTATGGATATAATTAATCAAATTTTGATGGAATAATTATGAAACTAAAGTGAGATATTGGAGTTAACTAAATGCAAATTGGAGTATCTGTATAGGTTTGGGTCAATTTATTTTAAATAAAAACTAAATGGTCTAAGTCTGGGACGATAAAATCAATTTTTTAATAATATTAGAATATTGAAAGTTCTTTTTTTTACTTAAATTCATATTTAGTTTAATGTGCAAAGAAAATATTGCAAGTCACTTCTTACATTATTCGACTTAAATTCTTGAAATTTAATGGGTTGGATTATATATTTGTTTACTTAAAAATGAAAAAAAAAATTAAATTGATGCATTTATATTATTTCTTAAGTTACAATCTTGTAAGTTAGATTATGTTAACTAATCTTCAATTTAACCATCACCAATTTCTCCTCTTATTTTGTTGTTTAGTAGTGAGTCCCACTTGGAAATAATGTTCACCCGTACTTAATAGAGATAAAGGAACAACCAGAAGAAATAAGTCACAAGAAGAGGAATTGAATTTCATTAGGCCTTTTATTCTTTACCTTGTAATATTAACAAATTTATAGTCGTGTTAGTTCAAAACTATGTAAAAGAAATGAATATTGATTAGTATATATTTTTATTTAATATATTGTATAATATATTTATTAAAAAATTATTATTTTTTATTTAAAATTAAAAATAAACAAATTTAAAAATGCAATAATGCATATAAGATATACAAAATGACTAAATTAGTATATTTATATTATATTTTAATAATTAAATAAAAACAAATATTTAAAAGTGTGTTAAATTAAATGGGTATCAATTATTTTTCAAAAGCAATATTGCAAATTAAGTCAATAAATCATATTTATTTATATTATGTACTTTTGCCTTTTGAGTGGCACCGTCTTTAAAGGAAAATGATTTTAAGAAAAAATTTTTATATCACTTTTTAATATAATTTGATGTGTCATTTAAATGATTGATTTTTTTAATTCATGTGAAATTTATAATATTAAATATATTTATTTATTTAATAACATATAAAAATTATATTAAAAAATAATATAAAAAATTATTCTTATAACACCGACCCGTTTTTAAATGCAAAAATATGAGTTTAGACTTGTAAGCTTATACATCTCTATGTTTGTTATGTGAGATTCATTTAAAAATATTAGTCACTCTAACGCTACAAGTAATAGTTTGATCCACTAATGATATTTTGTTTGTTTTGGCATAGTGAATGACATATAATAGCTCGGGAACGAATGAAATCCAAGTTCTTAACCTAACATAAACTATAATTACTATCTTAATTTCTATTAATTAAGAAGTTGGTTTTTAAAAATAAAATATTAACTAATTTCGGTAAAGAAACTGTCATTGAAAGTCAAAGCAAATTAACAAGTACCAAAGCTTTTCACGCTATTAGTATAATATCCCTTGTTTTTATTTTAAACATTCACACGGGTACACAGTGACGGAATACAATTTTTATTAGATACAATTAATATTTAATGATGGTAATATAGGAATAATTTTTTTATATTATTTTTGTATTATTTTTATATATTATTAAATAAATATATATTTAATATTATTAATTTTAAATAAATAAAAAATTAATTATTTAAATAACACATATAATTATATAAAAAATAAAAAAATATTCCTAAATCATTTTTTCAATATCTAACATAGTCTATAATTATTTGATTAATTAACAGACTTATTATTGAAGTCTAACAAATTAAAAAAAGGGAAATCATCTGTCCAATTAAGGACATAAATAGCTAATTTGTTTATTGAGGTCCCCAGCTCGGCTTCCTTGGCCCTCAAACCGTGCCTATAAATGGGTGCCTTTTGATCTGTTTAATAATGTTTCAAAGTCAAAACGCTGCAACATTTTGGGAGCAAAAAGTCAACATGATTAACGGTAGTCGGCACATATTTAAATCATAAGTAACAACTATAGTTAGTAATCTGTTGATGGTCACCGACTTTTCTTTTTTATATACCGGCAGTGTTATAGAAATAATATTTTTATATTATTATTTTATATAATTTTTATATATTATTAAATGAATGAATATATTTAATATTATTAATTTTAAATAAATAAAAAGAGTTAATTATTTAAATGACATATTAAATTATATAAAAATATAATATAAAAAGATTATTTTTAAATCATTTTCTTTTATATACAAATGTTTAAATTTTTAATCTTAATCAACTGGTCAACTTTTTTTGTGTCATCACCCCATTTCCTCATGATGGTGTTCATATTTAAAAAACGTAACCAAGACATCTACGAACTAAATGAGCAATTTAGGGAATTTTCATTGCATGGTTATGGGAGAGAGCCAACGACAGGCTGGTGATTAGTATGCGGCTGCCAATAGAAAACAGGATTTTAATTAATGTTAAATTAAGGATTAGAAGCTAGTTATGGACACCTGAACTGCAAGGGTTGTGCCGTTTGTGATTGTGGGTTAGCATTTGACTCAAAAAAGCCATGAGAAAAGGCATTGGCCTTGTTTACGTAAATACTTGTGTCACCGTCCCAAATCAAAATATAGTATAAAAAAAAAAAGGCCGGAGGAGTTGACTAATTAATATCTACCCTGGTGCCAAACTCTGCCATAAATAGAGTCCAACGCCCTCCTTTCTTTTCCACCACTGCAAAACTGGAAATATCTGTTATAGCATTTTAAACTAGACGTGCATCAACTACTCTTTTAATTCACTTCAATGGCAGTTCCTGTGATTGACTTCTCTAAGGTCAATGGTGAGGAGAGGGCGAAGACGCTTGCTGCAATTGCAGATGCATGTGAGAATTGGGGGTTCTTCCAGGTATGTAACATAAGGTGTGACTTAACATGGTATCAGAGTTCCTTGTTTACACAAATGTTGAGTTTACATATGTTTGATACAGTTGGTGAACCATGGGATTTCGGAGGAGTTGCTTGAGAAGGTAAAGAAGGTCTGCTCCGATTGCTACAAGCTGGAAAGGGAAGAAAACTTCAGGAGCTCCAAGCCAGTGAAATTGCTGAATGAGCTGGTGGAAAAGAATGGAGGGGAAACGTTGGACAATGTGGATTGGGAGGATGTTTTCACCCTGGCTGATGATCAAGACGAATGGCCAACCAAAACCCCTGGATTCAAGTAAGGAACCCAATTGATCTGTTTCGTTTTAGATAAATTGTGATACACGAACCCCACATCAAGAATATAATGTGTCAAGTTGATATAGAAGTAAAGATTTGTTTCTAACATTCGGAGTTTGTGACAGGGAAACAATGGGGGAATACAGATCTGAATTGAGGAAGTTGGCTGAGAAAGTGATGGAAGTAATGGACGAAAACTTGGGTCTGCCGAAAGGTTATATCAAGAGAGCATTCAATGATGGAGACGAA